GCTTGAGGTCTAGTAGTTCTCTCATGCCCATTCAAGTAACCTGAGCACAAAACATATGGATAAATAGAAAACATCTTTCGTTCCCAAAGCTTTTCCAGTGTCATAATTTTGGATAAAATTTGTGGGCATATAAGTGCAAACCATACAAAGTATTAAATGTCATAAAGTATGCAGAAGTAACAATTTACTGTGTCAGCCATATAAAATAAAACCTTATATTCACAACATTTGAAAAATTAATATAATCCCATAGTAAAGCTAAGACTTACAAGGAGCTTGAAGTCCATTTACTAATGTTACTCCACTAAGTTAATCTAAACCCTGAATTTAATAAAGATAATAGCACATTTATATATTGTTACATTTTACGGTTATCCTCATTGATATCCTATCATATGATCCCCAGGAAATCACTGTGAAGTAGGAGAGATAAATATCAGTATTATATTCTTACAGACAAACGGCTGAAGGATTAGACAGAGTGTCAAAACACAAAGAAAAGGTAATTATTTGATTTTTAATGTTTTAATATGATATTCTATCACACACTCTGCAGCAGTTACTGGATTTGTTTTATAACAAATTGATTTTATAATTAAATAAAAATGAATGTGACTTACAAATCATAGTGGAAGAGCCATGAGACAAATTATTTTGCTATCTTGTAAATCACGGAAAAAAAAATGCATAGAATATGACCTTGTCTGGGAATCACCTGCATCATGCCATAAATTTATATAAGATCTTAATATCTTTGTAGCTAATTCATTCATACTTTTGTCCTATAGAAAATAAATATTGCTCTACACTATTGGTTGCATCAAGGGTGTACATAATAAGAGTCTTATTCTAATTACTGATTAATGTATAGGTTGTTCAATTAATTCATTTAAAGTTATAAGATGAATAAGTGTTGGAGATTTAATGTACAGCAGGATGGTTATAGTTAACAGTATTGTATTATATACTTAAAAGTAGCAAAGAAGGTAGATTTTAAATATTCTCACCACAAAAAGTAATGATAATTATGTGAGATGATGGAGGTATTAGTCATTGAATAAATGAAAATTATATGCTGAACCCTGTACGCTGGATTGGAAAACAAACAAGTAGATTAGTCCCTGCTATTAAGGGCCCTCATGGATTTCTAGACATATAGACATACAAATTATATTACCAATAAAACATATGTATTATTTCCCAAAGTAATTATACATTATATGTATAGAATGTATAATGTATATATATTATATATATATAATGTAACTATCAATAGATGTATTCTCATAAATTTTTCAGTTATAATGTCTTATGCTTTATTCACATGGGATTAAAGTAGAAAAAAATTTTAAAATAAAGTCACTGAGCTGTTAATGCAGAGTGGTGCCTTTAAGACTGCATGCTCAATGCTTTCAATTTAAAATGAAAGAAGCATCTCAGGAGCATTTATTTATAAACTGGGAAGGATGAATGCAATTAAAATAAATTGGCTGGCAAGGGTTAATTACCGTTTTCTTATATTTCTCGAATCTTTTCTTTAAGCACAGGTCATAATTTAACTCAATATAATCCTCTGTAGAAATATCCATATGAGAACCAAATTTTCACTAGACGTTATTTACTTGTGTCATTTTCAAACCGTTGGATCACTTTTCACAAATCATTAATATAGTTCTCCATTATGCTCTTCAAAATTCTAATTTAAATAATCCTATTTCTGTCTGGTAGACATTGAATCATGAATATGGAATGACTTCACCTCACTTCACTTGAAATTCACTTAATTTTCAACTCTGTTAGCTGTGAGGTGAGTAGAAAATAATTTAGTTCAAAATTGCAGTACAAAAAAAAAAAAAGAAAAATTCAGTCCAAGGTGTGCTGCTGTCCTAAGAAGAGGAACTTTTTATTCAGTGTCCTAAATTGAGTTGTGATTTATATCACAGCTTTGAGTGATTAAATTCAAATTATCAAATTGTTTTTTCTCTTTGAACCTGTGTCATTGTTTACCAGTTTCATGTGTATTTCATAATTATTTGTGACATCACAGATTGGTCAAATTCCTGTACCTTGACTTACATCAGGTCAATTTCAAGAGACAGACTTGAGCATTCTCCCTCCCTCACCCTCCCAGCACCATCCTTTTCTGTCTCTTTCTCTCTCTATTTTAAAATCTAAAGCAAGCATTACTTGTTTGGTCCTTCTCATTTCATTTTTGTGACAATAGAGATATATAATGAATGAGTTCCCCATTTTAAAAATATATACATTATTTTTGAGGTGTACATATACATCTGAATACATTATTGATGTATTGATAGTTGTATTAATTGGTACATGATGGTCTTACTATTTGATTATGCAATTCCGCTATCAGGAATTTACCTAATAGCAATGCTCACATATATGTGCCAAGGTATATATAAGACAATAACCAATTCAATTTTATTTATAATAGTGAAAATTTGAATATTCACAGCAATAGGAAAATGACTGGATTATTTTACTTTTGCATTTCAGCTAATTCAAATAAGGAGATAGAAATATAGATGTTAATTGAATATATCTGTAATATTTTCTTTATTGAATGAAGGCAATTTTCCAAAACATTTTTAGAGTCAGATTTCAATGATGTAAATGCAACAGAAACAAAGGAAAAGTATGGGTTTGTATGAATATGCCTTTTGTTCACATTATATAGAAACTGATATCAACTCTTAAAATCACTGGAGAAACAATTATTCCTCCCTGTTTACATTTCATATTACATTTTTAAGCTACATATACAATATTCCTATAGGTACAGTTTTTAAGAACATTTTAATGAATTATATGGCATTTCCCCCAATAGATATTAATATGATAATAGCTGCCCCTCCCACTAACAGATTTGGTTTATCCAAGAAAAGATGCTTCTGCTGCTGGTCAACAGTTTAATCATCTGTATGAAGCCCTCCAAATATATAACTGTATACTTGTTCCTCATCAATTTTCCCATTACTATTTAAATGTTTACCTCCCAATTTCAAAATAGAAATTAAATTAAATTTGAAATGCTCTCTTCCTTTATTTCCCTTGTGGGATATGTTTCTGTTTTCATCCTACCTTTCTAGAATTCTTCTTACTGTCTTTTTTGGCACAGTCTGTCCCCATAATGTCAGCATCTCCAGGGCCTCAGCGTCTGGTCTTCATTTCCTTCTCTGCCGTCACTTTGCATGCATTCTCATCCACTCTGTGCCTTCAGTCATCATCTTTTGTTTTTGTTTTTGGCCACTCCACATGGCGTGCAGGGTCTTAGCTGCTGGACCAGGGATCGAACCAATGCTCCCAGCAGTGGAAGCACAGAGTTTTAATCACTGGACCGCCAGGGAAGTCCCAGTCATCATCTCTTTGCTCGTAGCTCTTCTGTATCTCCCAATGAAGTACTATCTATACATTCTAAACATTTTGTACAATTTCTTACTAGGTATTACACCAGTACCTCAATACCAGTAAGTACAAAATAAATTTAATATCATGAAACATTCTGCCTGAAATACCAGCATAAGTGAACCATCACAAAACAACCCAGAATTCCAGCCACAAGTCTAAAACCATTTTCTTCTTCATTATATGTAATTAGTAATGAAGCACTCAAACCTGCCAAGTCTACCTTCTTAATATCTCTCAAATATGTTCAAGCCAGTATCTGTCAAGAAACATCTTCTTCATTTAGGTAATTATCACTTTTCACCAGAATTACAAAAAAAAATTATCCTAAATCTCTCTTTTGTTTTCATTTTTTACCTCAATTCACGTCTCTAATGTATACACTTTCCAAGATGGAGCTCAAAGAATGTTTGTACAATGTAGTTTTGATGAAACTACACCACCTTTCTGCTTCTATGGTTCTTTGAGTCCTTGTTGACTCAGTGATATAATGTAAACTCCTTTAATGTTGCTATACATTGTGACTTTGTGATTTGCCACCCTTTTTCTCTCCAGTCTCACATAAATATCTGTGTTCACCCAGGCCCCACTGTATTGTCCTTCTGAATCAGTTCTGAATAAAGTTTATTATAGATTTTCCCTCTACTTTGATTCTAATCTCTCCAGTTTCTTTAAACTGGAAACTGATTAATTGTGTCAAACTCCATTGAAAAGCCTTTTTCAAAACAAGCCAGGTTATACATCACTCCTGTGTACTTACAATCTTGTGTTTCTCCCTGTTACAATGCATTTCGCATAGTATTGCAAATACCTATTCACTCAACAGTTTCTCTATTACTGGTTAACAGACAAGTCCAGAGTTCTGTTCATTATAAAATATATTTTCACTGCCCAGCAAAATTCCTGTTACAAAGTAGGTGCTCATGAAATACTGTATTACTGTAATACTTTAATAAATGAATGGGTACATGAGAAAATGCTATAAAAATGGTATATATTTGCATTCCCTGGAAATGAATCAAAAAGTTATAATAATCACAATGTGTACTTGTAAAGATATTGCCCTAAAAGCTATCACATCTAAAGTTAATCTAAATTAGCATGTACTTAAAACACTTAGCACGGTTTAGTATACAAAAGTTATTCATAAGAAATCATTCAAACTGTTAATTCCATCCCATTTTAATTATAAATGTGATAAGTAAAAGTCACTCATTGACACTTCTCTCATTGCGTTGTGAATCAATTTTCCCTTTCCTTGAGTCTTGAATGACCTGTGGCTGTTTTGATGTATAGAATATAACAGAAGTGGGAAGATGTCCATTCTATGCCTAGTAACCCCTGAATCAAGAGGAAGGATTCAAAGCAGTTCAGCTTGTGATCCATTTACTCCTAATACTGGAAGGGCAACCCAAATTTGAAAAGCAAATAAGGTATTTGCTAACAGTAAGTGTTGCTACATAAAGAATGCCCTTGGTTGGATAAGACTGGCTAAGGGTTATCTATGGTAGATAAATTCAGGACTAATGGATTTATGAGGCACAGATCCCTAGAGAATGTCAAGTAAGACAAACAATTCCTCTGAAAAGAAATAGGAAATGCTTCATTACTTAATGCTTCTTCTGCTGTATGGAGTAATCACCCACAATGAAGCACCTGGAAACCAAATCTATTATTCTGGCAAGAGAGTGCATGTTTGATGTGAGCATAATAGACCAACAAACAGTTCTTAACATCCCAGACCTCTGTCGGCTTTCTTTGAGTTTCTTCATTGACTGAATTATTAGTAATCTCAAATTCAATTAACACGTACACCTGAGTCTGATTTGTCACTTTGATTCTTTGTGTTACATGGTCTACAAACCTGTATGATATATAAAGAAGGGTTGTGACTTTAACTGTGTTCTGAGATTGTTTATTACGCAGTAATAGATAACCAGTACACTGAAGAAAATAGTTTTAATCTCAAATGGAAATAACAGAAAAAAAAAATCACACACAAAAACCCACAACTAATTTAATTTGTGTATAAAAACTGGGAATTTGGTTTTATGTAAACAACAAAATCCCTTAACAAATAAAATATCATAACTGTAAATGTCTGAGTAATTTATGAAAAATTGAAAACCCAGACATGTTTTGCAAAATATATTCCCTGATACAGTGAAGTTGTACAAATTTATTAGGACATACACAATTATTAAATTAATTGTATTAATTTCACTTAAGTTATTTGATTGCATTAAAAGTGGAACAATTAAAGTGCATGGCAGGTTTCGCACCACTGGTGCTTTCAAAATAGAGGACAAATACAACATTTTAACAGAGCTCTACCAGCTGTGCACAGAATATTAGCACTCTGGCAATGATCTCAGTGTAGCACACACTCTAAGGTGCTTAACTTATCTCATGCTGAGAGTAATGCTAAACCTGCATGCATACTTGAAGTACTACATAAGCCACATCTAATTTCAACAAACAATAGCAGATAATAGACCCCCTGGTATTAGTTTCTGTCCAAATGAACACCTAGCTAGAAAAAGCCCACATCAAGAAATCTAATTTTAATAACAAATTCTTAATCTTTGTCCACAACCCAATTTCTCATGAAAATTAGTAATGTCTTCTGATAGAGAAAAAGGTATTTTAGGAGTATGTTCTACTACCTTATCAAAAGCACATGTAGGGTTGGCTGCAGTGCACCAGCCAGATCTCTCCTTCAGGACAGAGTCCTTCAGGACAGAGTCCTTCAGTGACTCAGCGGCTGGTAATGTTGCTTTCTGACAGCTCACAGCTGACTTCTTTCCCAGGAACAGCCTTTAGCTTAGGGAGGGAGGTGCACAGACTAAAAGCACGTGCCTTCCAAGAGAGGGAGCCTATGTCCTATGGCTGCTCAAGGTTGGGATATAAACCATGGTCCCTTTTACTCACATGGTTTGATGCTCTGTTGCTAGGTGCATACAGAGTAAGGATTGTTATGTCTTCTTGGAGAATTGACTCCTTTATTTTTATGTAATACCCTCTTTATCCCTGAAAACTTTCATTGATTTAAAGTCTACTATGTCTGAAATTAATATTGCTACTTTTGCTTTTTTCATTACTGTTAGCATGGAATATATTACTTCATGAATTTACTTTTAATCTACATATGTCTTTATATTGAATTTGGGTTTTCTATAGAGCACGTATAGTTAGGTCTTGTTGTTTGTCCACTCTGACAATCTCTGTCTTTTCATTCGTGCGTTTAGACCATTGACATTCAAAGTGATTGCTAATATAGTTGGATTAATACATATTATAATCATTGCTATACCACTTCACTTAGTGTGAGTACCTAATACTAATAAAATAATTCTAATTCTTTCCTCCGGTCCCTTGTATCTTTGCTGTCATTCATTCTACTTATATATAAAAATGCAAAGGCATTAATTTTATGATACAGACTTAAGTTTGCATAATTTATGCACTGTTGGTATTATTTTAAATAAACTGTTATCTGTTAGATCAATTATGATAAAAAAATAAAAGGCTTTTATTTTACCTTCATTTATTCCCTCTTCAACACTGTTCCTTACTTTATGTAGATCTGACTTTTTGATCATAGTATTTTTCTTTCCTCCAAAGAACTTCTTTTAACATTACTTTCAGGGTAGGTCTACTGACAACAAATTCTCTTAATTTTTGTTTGTCAGAGAACATCTTTATTTCTCCTTCATTTCTGTAGGATTTCACTGGGTACAAGATTCTAGATTCGTGGGGTTTTCTCTCAACATTTAAATAATTTTTTTTCCTCAAAATTTAAATATTTCACTTTATTTTCTTCTTGCTTGCATGATTTCTGAGAAGATTCAGATGTAATTCTTATATTTGTTTTTCTGCAGGTAACATGTTCTTCCCCCCACCCCCACCCCCACTGGCTTCTTTCAGGACTTTATTTTGTCTAATTTGAAAATGATATGTAGTGATGCTTTTTGGCATTTATTATGCTTGATGTTCTCTGAGCTTACTGTATGTATGGTTCGGTATATGACATGAATTTGGGGAAATTCTCAGTCATTATTATTTCAAGTATTTTAGTTGCTCCTCCATTCTTTCTTCTTTTTCTGGTATTCCCTTTACACAGGTTACAACTTTTGTAGTCTTCTCACAGTTCTTCGACACCCTTTTTTTTTTCCAGTGTATCTTCTCTTTGCTTTTCATGTTTTGAGCATCTATTGATATACTCTCTAGTGCAGAGATTTATTCTTCAGCTGTATCCAGTCTATTAATGAGACCATGAAAGACATTATTTCTGCTACAGTGTTTTTGATCTCTAGCATTTATTTTTGGTTTTTTCTTTGAATTTCCATCTCTCTCCTTACATTACCCATCTGTCTTACATGCAGTCTACTTTTTCCATTTAGAGCCCTCAGCATATTAATCATAGTCATTTTTAACTCCCAGGCTGGTAATTCCAGTATCTTTGCTGCCATGTCTGGTTCTGATGCTTACTCTACCTCATCAAGTGTGCTTTTGCCTTTTGGTATACCCAGATAAGTTTTTCCTGATAGCCAGACATGATGCATGGGGTAAAAGGAACTGCCAAAAATAGGCCCATAGAAATGAGGCAGTGAGGTGTGGGGAGAGAGGAAGCATTCTACAGTCCTATGCTTAAGTCTCAGTCTTCAGTGAGCCTGTGCCTTTGGACTGTGAACTTCACAAGCGTTTCTCATTTTCTTTTTCTCCCCCCATTAGGTGGAAGAGGATGGCTAGAGAGAGCTGAAATTCGATATTTCACTTTGTCCAGGTCAGTTAGGATCTGAATATACCTCAGCAGGTTAGGCTCTGGTTAACTAGTCTCACCTGAAGGTAAAACTTGTTACAAGAACACAGTACTCTGGTATATTTCAGAATGGTTTCTTTCCCCTCCCTCTGCCAAAAGCCTGAGGGGATTTTTCTCCAATATTTATTGTGAAACCTTGATTGGGCTGGAGGTAAATCTCACAATATTGTGGGGGGCCCATTCATAGGGAGAAAGGTTTTTAACTCTCAGACTTGTCCACACTGAGCATCCTTACATTTGTTGATTGCAGTTCAGATTTTCCTACCTTTGCACCGGGTCCTGAGGTGGTTTACCCTTGTGAGTTTCTGTTCCAGCAAAAAGCTGAGACTCACTGCATTTTCCTGCCTTTCTCTCCAGTCCTGTGGGCAGATGTTTGCTTTGTATTCTCCCCTCTCTTATGGATCCAAGAAGAATTGTTGATTTTTCAGTCTGGTTAGCTTTTTTGTTGTTACGACAAAGTAGTGACTTCCAAGATTCTTACATGTGGAAAGGGAAATGTCAAAAATTCAAGAATAGCAGAGGTAAAACCAATGAATCACCGAAGTAGTGAGTACTAAAAGTTTGTTGTGTACACACCAAAAAGACAGTTTGTGTAGTAGGAGCACTCAAACCAAAACACGGAATGAGGTTCAGAAACATATTGTTATATGCTACTACACAGCAGCTTACAGAGTAGGAAGGCAGTGACTGCGGATTCTTCACAATGACTGGTTATAATATTAGAATTGTATTAACTGGTATGGAATTGGTTAGTGGTCGCCTCATATCAATTTTGGCAGACAGTTAAAGATTTCCTTATGATCTCCAAAGGCATGAACAAGAAATGGCCCAGTTCAAGTTAGTCTTGCAAAATAAGCCAAATTAAGCTCTGTTTGTATGACTAAACTTATTTTGTCTGCTGAGGGAATTTTTAAGGCTGGTCTCCATTTGTTTTTGATTTTAACAGAAACAAGAAACCCCATAGAGGCTTAAAAGTCATCCATATTTATGAACCGGTATTTAGTAAAAAAAAAAAAAAAAAAAAAACCTTTCCTTTAGGTATGTTCTCTGTGACTTAAAGTATTGATTCTGACAAAGATTACAGAGTATTTACCATAATAATAATGGAAAATACATTTTGCAACTAGACATTATTAAATGAATATATAGCACTTGCTCTGGGTGGAGAGATTAAATCAAAGGTAAGTTAACACTAGTTGAAAATCCTTGACATCTTTATTTTTAAATCTAAATTTACTTTAATAGATGTCTTCTAATCATTCTGATTAAGATTAAAGATAGTTTTATTGCCAATATTAAGCTGTATACATTGTTTTAGGAGTTAAAATAAGTATAAAAATAAGAGGATTTTTATTTTGTATTTGAAAAACATGAATTTCTAACGCAGCAAAACTTGAATGTGTGTAGAATTCATCTAATTACAAGTTGCATATACTTTAGATGCTTAGTTACAAAGTTGGAGGGTAGTATTTTATACAAAGTAACTGTCATATTAAAAATACATAAAGGTAGGTCAACTCCTCTCAAGGCACATACAAAGAAAATTTGACCACTTTCTTAAGTTGGAGATGAAAGGACCCAGTTATGTTTGATATCAGTCATCAGTGGAGTCCTAAGGCAATTGATGAATCCGTTTCCTGGGATGCTGCATTTTCAGCTCATTCTGAGTCTTGCAAAAGGATAGGTTTCAAGACTCACACCTACTTGAATAAATAGGATTATCTGGAAGGTCATTCTTCTTTTAAATGAATTTTAAATTACATGGAACTCGATATGATCAGCTATGTGACTGTTACGTTTATGTTGTCTTTGTTTCCCTCCCTCTCTTTTTACATTTCTCATTCTTCCTACTCCTGTACAATGATTAAAAAATAATAAATTTAAAAATTTGTATTATACAATTTAACATTTGTATGTTAAGATATTGTTGCATTCACTTTCAGTGTAGCATATCTGCCTGTATCTTCATTGCATTACATTTTGAATATGCTGTAATTATGTACTTGCATAAATGTGTGCAATACGACATATATTCCTTAAAATAATTTCTCACTATGTATTAAACTATATTAATAAAGAAATTTTTTTGAAATAAAACTAAGCTGTCCATATTAATAGATGACAAATTGAATAACTATGTATTTTAATATTTTCTTTCAGAATTTTAAATGTGCAATACAAATATGTGCCATATAATTTAGAAATACAAAGACGTCAACTCATAGGAATGTGCTAAATTTTAAACACTATTATTTGAATTTTCTGTTTTACCTGAATTTTATATATTTGCTATCTATCAATACCAAAGATAACTTGTGAGGGAAATGTTATTCTTTAGTGTTTTGCTTAAAACACAGCTGAGTTCTTCTTTGTACTTTGGAAAGCTATGCAAACACTCTTCACCTCATCCCTTTACCAATTTCCTCCATTAAAAAGATGAAGAAGGAAAAAAAGTAATAAAGTTTAAATAGCGGAACATCATTATGTTTAATAAAGTTACTGAAATTTTAGGGCCACATAATATATGGCACAGCTGTCTCCCCTTTCCTTGAATTCTTTCTATTCTGTTCTGGAGTCCTTCCCACATTCAATAGGACTAAATTATTGTTTGCCTTTTCTTAAAAAATCTCTGGCTTGAAAAGTTCCCTACCCAATTAAATCTAGGGTCTCAGCTGAAACAGATTCCTTAAATTTACAAGGATCTACACTTATTTTAAAGTAGTTATGGTTAGGTGAATTTTTTGTTTTGTTTTGTTTTACCTTTGCCAAAGATTATATATTGATAGTTCTTTGAAAATTTGTCCTCAAAAGCTTTTCTATCAGGTAAGGATAATACAAGGTATTATTCAATTTAGCATACCTCTAGGTCATTTTTGACTCACTAACTCTCTTCTCTCGCTTTTTTTTTTTTTCACCTCTGTAATCTTCAGGATTAAATTGGGTTATTGACTCCTGATTCTGTTCTATTCCTTGGACATTGCATGAGTTTCTTGCACTCAACCTTCATTCCTTCACACAGAGGTCCATTTCTCACAAGCCTGGTCAGATCAGAATTAGTCTCTAGTACATCTTAAGTGGCTAAATGTTGTCCAGTTGCATTTCTTCCTAAAGGGGTGGCATTAGAGTATATTTGTGGGTGGGAAAGAATGAGTACTCAATCTGTGTCTTGCTAAGGATCTCTCACACTCAGAATGACAATTCATTCTTATGGCTCTGATTCCCATTGCTTGGAATAAATTATAATCAAAGGTAAATGTGTTGTGTTCAATTTATCCATATTTCCAGACTCTGCCTCCTTCTAGGGGAAAAATGCTTGTTTCTTTCAAGTCTATTTATTTTTAGAGTCAGAACACTTCACATTTCTGGCACTATTACTTTTTTTTTTTTTTTTTTTTTTAGCGGTACGTGGGCCTCTCACTGTCGTGGCCTCTTCCGTTGAGGAGCACAGGCTCTGGACGCGCAGACTCAGCGGCCATGGCTCACAGGCCCAGCCGCTCCGCGGCATGTGGGATCCTCCCAAACCGGGGCACGAACCCGCGTCCCCTGCATTGGCAGGCGGACTCTCAACCACTGCGCCACCAGAGGAGCCCACTATTACCATTTTTGAACGTCTTTTCTAGAGTTAAATTCTCTTCCAAAGACAGTTTGACAAAAATATGGCATGTTGTCCTTTACTGAAATAGAAATGTGGACATAGTTTATTAGTCCTTTTTTTTTCTTGGTTCTTGTTTAATCTTATGGTATTGCTCTCAGCTGGATGGATGATAATCATTGAGTTATTATTTGGACACAAATTTATTTGTTAAAATTGTCTCCAAGTTGGT